GAAAGGGACCCGCCGATGGGAAGCCCTATTGAAGAGCATGCTGTCGTTGAGCGGGGCATCTCTCAAGGGAAAGCCAGTCATCATCATTAATTTGACTGGCTATATCGAGGACTTGGGGTGCTCAGCTACTTGGCTTACAAAGAGAGACTCCCCCACCTAAACGGAAGACTAGTGAAGGAACATCGAGCTTGGATTAATTGCATTCATTCCTAAACACTCACACCTGCAGTGCCATGGCCGAGAAGTTAAATTTAGAGCTCGTAACATCCATTGCGCTATGCTTGCCGGTCCTGAGCTCTTCTTTACACGGGGGAAGTCTATTCTTCCTTGGCATGATGAACCAGACAGTCCACAAGTTCAACGTGGAGTCACGGATTCTTCTTTGAAGTTTGATGCCCAACTTGGACAACTGTTCTTCGAGAGGAGCCCATATGAACCTTTGCCAACTGACTGGCAGCTGGGTCCGCAGAAAGCTGGCATCACCATTAACGTGATCCCTCCAGCTTCAACTGCAGGGAAGATTCTTCATCATTGCAAGGACCGTCCTCGGGGATTTAATAGCCTGAAATCACCAGACTAAGGTTGAAGCAAAGACCTACTGTTTGTGATGTTTAGACTTTGTGAGCAGATTTGGTGACAATTGCAGAACATATGGGATACCCTATAGGAACAAATCCAACGAATGCGAGAGAAGCATGGTGGTGAGAAGCTGGCAATCTTCAAGATCGGTATTTCCCATTGCCTTCAACGACGTGTGTGTTTTTACTATGAGGAAAACTTTGACGAGATGTGTTGCATTCATGCCACTAATTCCCTTGCCCACGTAGAAATTTTGGAAGCTGCTCTCATTGACTTTTATTTGGACAAGTGCCCACGTCAGTGTCGGAATCTTCTTCGCGGAGGAGAAGGTATGAGGGCTGGAGGTCTCGCGAAATATCCTGCACCGTACTTTGTCTATGTTGTTGCAGCCAATGCGTCGAAGTGCAAGTGGATTGGCAAATGACTTCAACTTTGCTTGGCCAATCTGAACGTTTTACATGAGGAGGACTCACACTCACTGTGACTCATGTCAATTCGATGCACGCGGAGTAAAAACTAGTGTTTCCTGTAAGTGTCATTCAATCCGGATAAGATTGACAACTACTATTTTTGAATACAAAGCATCGTGAATCATGGCCTATTTGCTCCATGCAGCCAAGGCTTTTCAACTTCGTTTGGCAAATATGGCTTTGCCGGGCGGGTTTGAGACAAAGAACTTGCACTACCTCTCAATCTGGTGGCTCAACTCGCAGTCCTATGGTGCAGCAAGGTTGTCAAGGGAAGTTACCGACGCATGGGTTGCTGGAAAGTGGGAGCTTGGTGGGGTTCGCTTCAACAGTGAGGTACCGGGTCTCACTGATGAGGAGCTCTCAGCAATCCCAGGATCGATGAACTCCCTCGCACGCATGGATGAGATTCCTTGGGAAGTTTTGGAGCGCAGCGGCTCCAAAATGGTCATCAAACGAGACGAAAACAAGTACTGGTCCTCCCAGACGGGCCAAATTGGAGAAACCTACAAGGTGTTGAAGGAGAAGCACCAAGACATCATCGGCCGCTGCTCAGCTTCCAATGAGACTGTCGAGGACCAGGGCAATTTGGGTGAAGAGACTGAGGCTCAGACTCAGACAACTCAGACTCCAGCCCAAACTGCACATCAGGTTGAAAGCATTGGAAAGCTTGATGAGCTGCACAAGGTCGATGTCAAGGTTCCCTCTGAGCTGGCCAATGTGGAGCTCATTTTGTGCAAAGATGAAACCATTTGGATTTGTGCTGGCGCTGACAAGGTCTTGGGGAAGCATCAGGTGGTGGGAGGCGTTGGGACTGGCCAATGGGTGCCCGAGACAGAGGCATCTGATTGCTACATTCCCTTCACTCTACCCGAAGGCGACAAAACACTTGTACAGTTGGACGAATCATCTTTTTCCAGTGATGCGCAGGGTGTGTCAACCAGCACACTGTTCAAATTGCTGCTGAAAGCTGAGAAGGAAAAGGGCATTGTATCCCACAAATTCTCCTTTGTCACCATCGAGCGGTCCCAGAACCTAGATGCCGGAGCAGATGGTTTTGATGTGAAGATCAAGAGCCCTATGGTCTTCAATTGCATGGTCAACCCTGACAAGACCACGTCCAAGAACGTGTTCAATCGTTGCCTGCCATCCTTGAAGACGTCTGAGGATTTGATGATTGTGTACCGCTTCCGTTTTGAACGAGTAGGGCAGAGTTTCAAGGTTCAGCGGCCATACATTGTAACAGCTCGTTCAATTTCTTTGAAGAAAGGCATGCCTTTGCTGGTCTCAAAAAAGAAGAGCTAAGTCTCTGCAATGGCTCTGCCATTGATGGATGAACATAGAGTCAAATAAGTTGGCATTGGTTGACTTGTCGTGTTATTCACTGCTGTTGCTTTTCAACTACTCACGCAGTTGTTGATGAGCCATACTGGGGATCAGCAGGGGGTTTGGGTTTTGTTAGCTTCAAGTGATTTTTGACCCTGTCACTGAAGCTCAAGCACAGAGTGAATGAACCAAGGGTGTGGAAGCAGAAGGCCGGCCTTTGAACGTCTTCTCAGGTGATAGCTCATAAAATGAACACAGGCAGCTGAGAACACTTGATGCTTTGTTCATGTTTGCAGAAGACTCAGCAAAACTTAAAACCACTTGTATTGAACATGTAATAGATCATTGTGTGGAATAATAACATATTAACATATTATATAACTTTTGTGAAGCCTGTGATTCTTGGAGCTTCAGGGGTGGAGGAGACGCATGGCCTGCGGACTGTTAGACCCACACCATGAACCAAATCTAGCCACGGACAAAAGAATTTTAATCAGACAAATTGTGAAGTGGCACACTGAGAGTAGTCCTAGGTTGAAGTTAGACATTGACCTGGACGCCGTGTTATCATCATTATTATTGTGTCATTCAATTTATGGAGATTTGAAACGAAGCCTGACAAGCTTTTGAAATGGAACTTTCAAACCTTCTTCAAACATATTGAAAGGCTCAGGGTAGATATCCTCGATATTCTTGACATTTCTTGAGTGTCCTGGAGCTGCTCGGATTGATCGGCATGGCTTTGAGCTGGACCCTCACCTATGACGAGATGATGAAGTTGTGGCATGGTCTGTGTTGTCTACACGACCTGGGAGGCATGGCAGAAAGAGCAAGCTTCCAGCACGAGTCAATTCGCGAGACTCTGATGCAGTTCTACCCGCTCTTTGCTGGTGGGCAGGATGCTGGCCCAGCAATTTTGGTAGCAGTGCAAGTGCTCACCATCCTGAGTTGCATGACCTTCAAAGCGCAAATGGATGGCGCGGACCCGGATGACTCATGCAAGCTTTCAGTATGGGTTGAAGCTGCGGATATCATACCACCACCAGGTGACAGAACTCCAGAGAAGTTCAGGCAGGAAATGCGGGAATGGTCCACAGCAAAGATTGAGCACATTTGGTCAATGATTAGTTGCTCCAAGAAGGAGCTAGCAACGCTATTGACTGAGGTGCCGGAGGCTTGTACTCAGGTAATTGACATTTTGAAGAAAGCACATAGCGCATTGGATTCAATTTCCATTGTGGTTCAAGAAGAAACTGCAAATTGAGCTGACTGGCCCAGCGGGACTTGAAAGCCTGGGCTCATCAGCAGCAAAAAAACACTCTCGGTAATTTAATGAGAAGTTGGGTTAGTTTCACTTTCGTTTTTAGTGTTCAAGCAGAAGCTGTGTGCCAATTTCAATGCCAGTCAGTCTGTCATGTTCTTTTTTGCGTTTAGTGCCTTCCGGCTTGCGATACTCGCGGTGGCCTTGGGTCAGATTAGGCTTGAGGGTAGTAGGCTATAGGCCTTATTTTCACCCAGTGTGCGTTCATGGCGCATTGCATTAACATCCAAGCGCGCATTCTGTCTTCAATGGCCTCGCAGCCTTCCACCTCGTTCAAATCTCCAGAGCGGGTTGCTGCTTCTGCGGCCGCCACCGCTGCCGTTGAGGGTACTAAAGCAGATCATGCTACACCCAAAGGCCAAAGCCCAAGTGGTATGTTGGTGGAGACACCCGAGGAGGAGGGTGGACCGTCGGCTGGCATTGTGGGTGGAAGGGGCAAAGGAAGGGGGCGTGGGCGAGGTCGTGGCCGTGGCAAACAACAATGTTCAGGTTCATTAAGTTTCAAATTCCCCAGTTTCCTGTCAGTTAGTTTGGATGTTTCAATTGTTTGGAGCTAACCATCTCTTTTTAATATTATATCACATTCCAAAAACAAAAAAACATGGAGGCAATGAGACTGAGACGAACCTTGAGAAGGGTGAGGACAAGAAGGGTGAGATGATGGTCGGCAAGGTGGGTGAGACGCCTGTGATGAAGCGACCTTCTACGAGACAACCTTCAAAACCCCGTCGTGTGATGCGTAAGCCATCAGCCTCTGGTGACATGGGACAAGATGGGACACCAAAAAGGAAGGAGGCAGCACCAAGTTTACCTATCCCAGAGATCCCGAAAGAGGCCAAGAAGGGTTCTACCAAAAAGGCCAAGAAGAGTGGTGGCACTGAGCGTGGGAAAATCTTGTCATCTGTGGATCACCCGAATGGGTGGAAAGTTGTGGAACACCAGACTCCAAAGGGTCGAGTGTACAAGAAATATATTGCTTCCGATGGGGAGTATTACTTCTCTGAAAGTACGGCGGCACAACATGGATTTAAAGCCGCCTGATCGTCAATCTGAGGAGAAAGAAAGCGGCGGTTACTAATCACATGGACAGCAGCCCAAGGAACCAAAGAACCAAAAAACGAAAGAACTAACTTTTAGTGAACTTCCTTATATATAATATACCTGTTAACTATTATATTTAAAGGATTTGTGCATGCTCCTTCCATCCAATGCCAGAGCAGTTGGAGCTCTAGCTCAGCCGTTGGAGGGTGGAATCTGCACCGGTCTGGGTAGATGAATGTCCTTTTCCTCCATTCTTTCTCGAACAGGTGGAACGCCTTCTGACGGACATGGAAAGTCGCTTGTCCACCCATATCAACCTGGTGCACAAAGAGGTGTGCGACTTGAAAGTCGCCGCCGCTCGGCGTGCGAGTGGCCCTGTGGTTGGTGTCACAGTAGTGATCAGTAGTGGTTGGATGGGGAAAAACAAGAAAAAACAAGAGCCGAACTTGCAAGCGCTGTAGGTCTTAGATCTTACCCTAAGGATCCGCACCCGAAGCAAAACAAGGGTTATGAGGTTACAAACCCTTGTGAACTAGAGACTCGGATCCTTAGGGTAGAATGTCATTAGGTTGGAGCCATTGCTCTTAGGTTGGAGAGCCTTTGTTCTTAGGTTGGGGGCCATTGCGTGAGAAAGATTCATGATATACTTAAGAGTCTCTGAGTTCGGGTCTGGCAGTGTGGCAACCCGCTTAGAAGTTGTGCGTTGAAAACCGAGTTCTCAGATCGACCGTGTTGAAAAATATGGTCATCAGCGACCATTGTGTTTTCATCCGGGGCTTCCGCCAACCAATTTTGGCCCATGCACGTGGACATTTGGGTGGCCAATCGGGGCCGACCAAGCAACTCCTCTTGTAGAATTGTCAATGCCGAAGATGCCTGGCCCAACCCAGACACTCCATGTCTATGTAGACATGGGATATTCATATCTACGTTGGGTGGCTTCAAGGGTCCATGCATTTAAAAAAGCCTCTAATCCCAGACGCTCCCCACTTGATCGTCCACATGTCGTGTCTTGGGTCTGGCACTCCTGGTCATGTCTGGTCGTGTCTGGCACCGAGGAGCAGGCGGTGGGAGGTCTCCCCACCGACGTGAGCCACGTGACCCACGCCAAGAGCGATGACGCGCCAATGCCCGGGCGGAGCTCCCACTTCTACCGCGCACGAGTCCCGGTCGCTCGGTCAAAGAGCGAAGAACCGGGCGGGATGCGGCCGGCCCGGAGCGTCCGTCTGCCTGGGGCGGACCGGAGCCTTTTTGGGGGGTCATGAATTGAGTTCTTGCAAGGTGACAGATGACGCCAAGAAGCCTGTCCCAGAAATTCCAGCCAGGAAGACTTGTTTGGGATGAGCTTGAACTGAATTCTGAAGCAGCTTCGAAGGCAAAAGCTGCCTCCATGAAACACGGATTGCGGTTTGCTGTGCAGGTGGCTTTGATTGAAGGGGCAGACATGCAGTTGCAATTGATGAGTAGTTGGTCACCTAATTATGGCATCTATTACAAACCTCACAAAAGCTCCACCCTAAGGCTCATTGGACCCTCAGTTCGCCAGGTTTTTGGACCTCAAACATGTAGTAGTTTGAGGGTCCATGAGCCTTTGGGCAGACCACATCCAACCACATAAACCCCTCGGTTTTTCCCTCCCAAACGACCTGGACCATCCGAGATCTGGACAATCTGGAATCTGGAGATCCCGGAGAGCCAGTGCAGTACAGCCTGGGTAGTCCAGACAAGATGGTCCTGGTACCCTTTCTTTCCTAGTAGCTTCTTGTTCCTGGTAGCGATGGCCTCCAACACTTGCGATGGCCTCTACCCAATAGTGTCCTGGCCAAAACCTCGCAATACCAGGAGCTACGAACGTCGCGGGCGATTCGCCCGACAGCTCCGAGCGCCCGCTTTCGCGCCCGAGAGCTGCCCAGAACCCGAGCTCCGCCAGGATCACTTCCGACAGCTGGTGAGCGACAGCTTGCGCTCGCCCCAGCGCGCCGGACGCGGCGGCAACCTGGGCGGACCCTCCTCGCGCTCGGCGCCTGGGGCGCAAACGAGTCGCGTTGCATGACCCGCGAGAAGCGCGAGGAGCCCCAGGTAGCAGCAAAGCGAAGGAGTCCACCCTAACCCCAGACACGACGACTGGGACTGGAATAGCCCCCCCGGACCCACCGAACTGAGGGTCCTTGACCCCCAAAACCACCCCTGGCCTGATCGGCAGATATGGCAGTCCCATGGAGTGTCTGGGTAATATAAAGTTCCAGTATGTTCCGGTATATAATTACTCCAAGTACCTTCTCAGAAGGCACTTGGACCCTCCTGGCACCACCCCAAACACCTTCTGAGAAGGTACTTGGATCCCTAGGTATACTTATATATATTCTGATTGACCCCCAAGAGTAAACACAATAGATTACCTGGGAGGTCAACCTACCGCCCTAGGGATCCAGTCGTACCTTCTAAGAAGGTTAAGTAACCTGAAAAAGGACCCGCTAGCTACTTGGGGTACCTATGGGATAGTCGAACTAGGGTCCTTCAACCTCTGTTGGAGGGATTGTTTTGGGATGACGCATACATCCTCAGAGGGTCGGAGTAAGAAAAGAACAACAACACACCCGAACTGGGTGGTGCGCGTGTCGCAGATGTCTGGGCAACACGACATTCATATACGCAACTGGATCTGAGCAGGTACCTTCATGTACCGTACATGCCAGGTCTTTCCACTGACTCAGCCAGTACCACGTCAGCTTTCCATCCACCACTAGTCTCCGGGGTGTACCGACGCACGACTGGAGCCGCTCGGACCTTGGAACCGGTCGAGAGTCGGACAGGACCTGCTAGACATGAGCTGTTTGGGACGAGACCTGGGTTGAAGCTACCAGGGGCCCCTCAGTGAACCATCAAAAACCTTAGCCTTCCCCAGCAAAGTAGCAAAGACACCTGGTGTTGGTATGTGAAAACCTGTTTGTTTCATGGTCAACGGCTCGGGCCCCTGGTAAATCTATAGATCTTCCAACTACCCTAAGAATCAAGGACCCGATCCGTTCAGCGGTTCGGTTTGGTTCGGTTCTGTCCAACCCCCTGAGCGGTCTGCAGGGTCAAAGCCCTCCAGCGAACGGTGGTCGGGTCCAATGATTCTTAGGGTATGCAAAAGTATTTATCCCTTTTAGTGTATTAAACAGGGTTCTAAAAGGCTTACAAGCAAGAATCAAGGCCAAACATAGAGGCCCTGGTTCAACCAGCCCAAAAGGCCCTAGGCATGAGTGCATAGTTGGAAGATCTAGGTATGCATGAGTACAGTAACACTGGTGTTGGTCTTGGAACGTCGACTTTGGTGGGTCGGCGCTAGTAACAGATCGCAGACGAGGTCGTCGTCTGGGTTTGGAGTCTGTGAAACGGGGTTCACTGGGTTCAAGTGTCTACTACGGATCGATCGAAACGGCGATAGAGCAGATCAGAGAAAGCTGGATGCGGGAACGGGGCGGAAGATGAGGAATGAAAGACGATACCCTAGCATTCGAAGAACTACGGTATATAAGGCTAGGGTATTATTGGCGGGAAAGGGAGAGAGAGAGAGAGGAGGCGGTTTGGGAAGGGAGATGAAGGGAGCCCGGTTGGAAGAAAGCTCCGACACTGGACGCGCCAGTGCATATCAATGACCAGGAACACAAGGGACACTTGCTCCCAGTGCCTGAGGGGAATCAGGTAAGAAACGAACGCTATGTATCGTCTTCTATCATGCCCATAGACTCCATGGGACTGCCATCTATGCCGATCAGGCCAGGGGTGGTGCCAGGGGTGTCAATTGATCGGCATAGTCTGGCAGTCCCATGGAGTCTATGGAATGGGAAGATCTCAATTTCGACCCTGGTCATCGCCAAGTCAAGGGGGCCTCCCATCTCTTGCCCTAAAACCGAGCTTGGGCCCTCCATGGCCGGGGAGAAGCCCGACTCTCCACCGATCTCTGCAGGGGGAAGGTCCAAACCGGAACCAAAAGCTATATGATTACGGAAGGGGCGAGGCCTAAGGTTTGAAGGCCTTTCCACATGACTTGGCTCTCTTAGGCTGGCTCCAGCTTCCAGTGGGATAGCTTCCGGCTCTCACCACCGCAGCTCTCCTCTTGCGCGGCTTTTTGTGAGATCATGATCCTCACCTTGGCAGCCCGGTTCAATCCCGGGATGCCGCGTTGGACCGGGAGGCGTTAAATCCTCGCAAGATGGTCCGTAGTTGCTGATGTTTACGAACTCGGATGGCTCATGCATCTTCAATATTGAAATAGCGGGAGAAAGCAAAACCAAGGGGGTGTTGTTTTTGTTCCATCTTCCAGGAGGTCTTTCGGGGCTCCCCATATTCTAAGCTACAGTTTCTCTGTGGTTTTTGTTGCTCTTTGTTGACAAAAGCACCGAGGGTTTCTAGATTCAGACCGATAGAGGGAGCCGCTTGAAAAAGAACATCGCCACTTGCGAGAGCTTTGGACGTGCCCCCAAAAAGCTCGGCATTTCAGTTCATGAAGTGTTGGATGTTCTTTTTTTTCCGGAGCGGCGTCTTTCTTGGTCGAAGGAAAGGATGGAAAGTATCAATGAAAACCAAAACCCGTTGGGGTTGGGGGGAAAGATCACGTGTGGAGTGAGACGATGCTAGCCTGTTTTCAAAAAGAAAGCTTCCAGACGTTCCAAACTCCCTTCTCTATGCATCAACTTACCCTACAGGTCATGAACTGATTTTACTAGGAGTTGATAGAAAGGCACTACTTAATGAGGTGTCCAGGACCAGGTTTGGAGTTGTATAGCTCTACAACGAAATACAACCTTTTCAAGGAGGATAGGTCAACCCCAGCATCCGGTCGCGACCATTGCAGCGTGTTTACCGCACGCGGTCTCTCCATGGTGACCATTCCTGAAGCGAGGAGCTTGTTGAAGTCTGCCTCCACTGCACTTGACCAGAAATATCCTGCCCTAAGGATCCTTGGACCCTCCTATAACAAGGCGTCGAACCCTCTAGCCAAACCCTTGTTTTGTTTCGGGTGCGGATCCGTAGGGTGCAAAGATCCGGAGAACCAGCTTCTTCAGTTCGTGACCTTTTTGGAGTGTCCCGCCAACCTGTTGCAGGCACTTTTGTGACCTAACCAACCAGGATGTCAAGTTCGGTCACTTTGAAGAACCAGGAAGAAGGCATTTTGATGCATTTTGTATGATGGGTCCATTTTTTGGTTTCTTTGGCCGAAATGCGCTTTCTTTCGGAAGAAACGCTCCAAAGCGACCGGTCGACCTGGTCCTTGAACCCTCACGTCGTGCCAGGTCCTCGCCATATCGCTTCGGGAGAGAGCTCGCTCCCGACGCTGAGCTCGCTCCAGCCAGGTGATCGCTTACTCCATCCTGATGGGTCTTTCTCTACAGCAGTTGAGCTCCACCGGCGAAGCACCGGCCTGGGCCTACCCCGCATCTGGGTTCAATCACCAGCGCTGTCGAGGGCGGGGAAAGCAGGAACCCCACCCATCCGAGCCGCCGTGGACGTCTGGGGGGTTCGACGACCGCGGGGAGACGGTCCAGACGTCCAGAGACCGTGGAGCAGCTTGCCGTCCGAGCCGTCCGAGACGTCGACGTCCAGATTCGGTGAGTCCCGAGTTCGGACGGCCCGAAGGTTCCGTCTCAGGGCCCCGGAAGTCCGGACTGCAGCTGGTGTCAGTGGCGTCTAAGCATTGCGAATCCCTAGACATCCACTGCCACCGTACCTCAGCTACGCCTGGGCCCGACTGGCTGGCGTCATAAATAGTCTCCTTCCTCACCTGAGAAGGTACGACTGGATCCCTAAAAAATTGGATGGCCACGTGTGGCTGGAGGAGTGCACGATTCCATCTCTCCGATGCCATCCTCCGCCATACTTCGAAGCCATGACCCTTTGTTTTGAGAGGAAAAGGCCATGTGTTGGTTCCAAAAACAGGGTCAATCAGGCTCTAGGATGTCCATGGACCTGTTGCCATGTCCATTTCGCATGTTTTCGAAAGTAAGACGGTCTCTGACGGTCAATGACGATCCAATTGAACGTGTTTTTGTGCCATGCTGGTCAGAAACATCCAAGGCTCAGGAGTTCGGGCCAGCCACCCCGAACTCGGAGTTCGGAGTTTAATCCAAAGAACTACTAGTTTTTACTGAGGCAACCGGTCTCACAAGCCCGGACCTGCGAACGGGGAAGCGCGGTCCTGTGCTTGATGAAATCGGAAGTTCTTTGGGGTGGAGATCTTAGCTACCCAGACGCTCCGTTCACAGCTCGACTGGTACCTCAAAACCCTAGGGATTGGTTCGACCCCAGACCCCTCCAGAGGATTCGGGTCCGACCCCTCCATATGAGGGCCCAGACTTCGCGTCTGGGTATAGCAGCTATAAGGTGTCATTGCTCTTGGGGAGCGACTTACCGCCATAGGACTGCCGGCCCAGAGGCCGACCACCCTAGCACCATATCGGCTAAGATGGCAGTCCAGCATGGGTCGCATTTAGTGACTCAGCCCCTTGCCAGTTTCTTCAAAGTGACTTCTTTGGAGTGCCTAAGTGACTTTTTACGGGCCCAACTGACCTCAAACTGGGATATCAAAAGGTCACTTTGAAGAACCAGGTGTTTTTTTCCTGTTTTTTTCAGGTCGATCTCACTTTCAACGTGCTCTTCGTGATCGACGTGGCGTTTCGCTGCTTTTTGGAAGGTCGTCGCTTCTTCTGTGGCCCTGGCGCTCGATGGAGTCTTGCTGATGAATGGAAACCGAGTCTCAAGCAGAAACGAGGTGGATGTTCCAATACGATATGAATGGATGTTTACCTTTTTGGTTTTAAAGAGGATGTCTCACTGAACAACAATCCCAGACGGGTCCCTGAGGTGGCAGCGTAGCAGCTGCAGCTCCCGCTCACCACTCCGATGCTGGAAACACTGTGAGTTGAACTCGATTGGTGCAACCCAAGATAGAAAGTATCATGTACCACCCGAAGGATCCGGTCGTCCGGACCCTCCAGTTCCCTACAGTCGTGGGGTAGTTCACCCCAGTCCGTGCCACCAGGCTTTTTCGGGGCACACCCAAACCGTTTTCGCGCTGGGCATGACGTAATCGGGTGCAGATCCTGATCGGGTAGGACCATCCAATGGGTCACCCAATGGACCACGTAATGACCCTCCACTACCCCTACAAATCCAAGTACCTTCTCAGAAGGTACTTGGACCCTCCAAACCTACATAACAGTGTCTCCAATCATCTTCTGAGAAGGTACTTAGTACTTGGATCCCTCGGGTACTATCCAGGTAGACTCTGGATGACTCACTTCAGATGGTGGCAAGACTGGCACTGGGCGCGCAGAATGCCCTTGCGCCTTCGATGGATGCAGTGTCGGTGAGAGAGAAACAATCACCCCCCATATGGGGAGAAGGTGGTTGGGGTGGGTACCAGGGGGAGTTGTGCCCACCAAACCTGATGGTATTGACCAGGAGCCGGTTTTGAAGGCACCCCAGCCGCACATCGGCCGCACACCATCCGCCCACCATCCCAGGAACATCGTCGATTCCTGCGTGGTGTTCTTCATCGTTTTGTCGCAGCTGCTCAGCGATTTGGGCTATCCAGATCTGGGAAGCATTTCGGTACCTGGGGCCTAACACGAAAGGGGGAGGGCCGTGTTCCACGGAGTGCGGGGAGTGTCCATCTTCACCAAACAGGATGCCATTTGGAGCAATCGTGGGGTTGATGGCCAACCACTGGCCAGTCATTACTTCCAAGATCTAGATCTAAAGAAGAACTACCGAAGCACTGCCTGAACGATACCTTTTTCCGTGCCCCTCAGAGATGCACCAACTTCCAGGGGGTGGCCACACTTCCATGGCTTTGATAGCCTCTTCCAGCAGCCAACAGCTTGTTGAGGGTTGGGAAGGGCCATATGAGGTCTCAGTTAGTGACCTGTAGAGCCGGGTCCTGGTTGATGCCTCTGTAAAAACCATTACATAAACAGTAAAAAGAGGTTGTCCCCCTTTGATCCCCTTTGACTCAGATACTGGGTCTTACGTGGCATTGGTCATATTCAAGCTCTTGTGGTTGGAGAAACCTCGAGGGCACAAGGGACTGATGGTATTGTGCAACTCGACCGGCTGTTCGGTCACTGCAGATGTCGATCAGATTCCTGTCTACCAGACACGCATGTTAGAACGTGTTTGGTTCTCCAGCCAAGCGCCCACTGCCCGCTGTCAAAGTCAAAAGCCAGCTTTTGAAGATGACGAAAGGGGAACAGATACTAAAAAGATTGGATCTCATATCAATCTTCTGTGGGATGTCCATCTCGGGAATCCCTCAAGTCGATTCAGGCTTTGTTCTCTCCCGACAGCCAAAGATGGTTCCTCTTATTGCAACCTCACCAGCAAGCTGCAAGATGACAACAGAGAGATACACCGACCCCTACTGACCAGGTCCAATGCTATAGAATGTTTCTACACTTTCAGGCTTTCAGATGTATGAAATTCATCTACATCACCAGTTACATCAATCCAGGTCCCAATCCAGCAACATGGATGCTTTGGGGTTTTCCGAACGACGCACTCTTCAACCCGCCGGCCGGCATCGGTTAAGACACCCCTTCCACCGAGCAAATGCACCGACACGGCGTGCCGGCGGGAGACCTCGTGCACGGCGTGCCGGCGTGCGGATTCAGGTGCTCCGACTACTTCGGATTCTTCGAATCTTGGGCGTCTTGGCTTCGGAAGAGGCAACAGAGGTGTAAGAGATTCCCACCAAGTCGACTCTCCCAGGTCATGCCTGCCAGGTCACCAGGTGCGACTGAGGTCCGACCCTCAGCCACAGACTGAGGTCCGACCTGGTAAGTACCCCACGTGGTCCGGGTCGCATGAGGTCACTTCACCTCTCTTGGTACCCCGAATCCTCCAGGCCGCCCCCTCCATTTCGCGGTACGTCTTGGGGGGTCTGTGCCCACTGAACCTCAGGAGGTGGGGCGTTCGGAGCTCTGGGGTACGTAGAGCATTTACACCTTTGGGGGGGGATATGGGAGGTTGCGCATTCAAATCCAGGGTCTATTCGCTACCTACACCGGAAGTAGCCTGGGACCGGTTGGTATGTTCTTTGGTCGGGGTTCAAGAAGACAGAGATGATCGGCTTAGGACATTGCAACTGGATGAGGGTGGCTTGAGTGCACACACCTTCGGTTTGTGGCAGTTGGTGGCAGCCGTAATAAAAACACTTTTAGGTACCATTTGCCCACAGGTGGTGAGTGACACTTGGTGAGTCATTTGAATACTCTACCCCCCTTTCAGGATCCGCATCCTCCAAAAACAGGTGTTGGTTCTTGTTGCTTCGGGCCTCCCAAAACAACCCTTCCCTGCAAGTCCAAAGACCCAGTAAAACCTGGTCTTTTACCTCCTTAAGTATTGGTCTTGTATGACAATCCCAAGTAAAATGAAGTCAAACTGACTTATAGGGCTTGGTGAACCCAGAGGCTTTGAACCCAACGCTCCGAATCTCAGAATCCGACATGGGATCCAAAGACCCACCCCAGACGTGCCCCGGAGGGGTCCGCCCCGAACCACAGGTGGTGGTGAACCTGGGCACCAGACTGGTCACCAGCAAGCACCTGTAGAGTCGAGTGGTGGAGGGGTCGAATTGGTTTGGACACCAATTCCTAGGGTTTGGTTCGGGACCCAGGACGTCGCGTGTGAGCGCGTCTGGGCCACGTCGGTGGATCCCAGGCGTCGCCCGGCTCCTGCGCTTCTTCTGCCGCTGGCGCGCCTTCCGTTACCTCCGGACGCTGGCGGCGTCGCTGGTGGAGACCTCCAAGTGCATGCTGCCGTCGCTCGGGGGGTCCGCGCGGACGGGAGGACGCCCCTGAAGGAGGCTTTGCCGGCCCTGATGGACCTTGGAAGCTGATGGACCTTGGAAGACAATGTTTCCTACCAGATCTAGCCAGGAACACCCAAAGCCCAGTTTGGATGGTTCGGGGTGATGCTTGCAAGGAGTAAACTAGGTCGGTGGTCTTCCTATTGGACGCCCAATGTGAAGGGCGCCTCGCTGGCGGCAGCGAGAGAGCTAAGACAAAACCGGGAGCATGTAAGGAACTAGTTCATGCGTGTTCAAGTGAGTGTCTTCTTGTTCCCTCAAGAAGCTAAACCAGCGGTTTTGCGGGAAGCATTCGGAAGCAGGTGAAGAAGACGACGAAGAAGCTGCAGGGATTGTGGGCCATTCCACCGCCATTCCACCCATCAGATGGTGTTTTCGGTCGACACTGTAGAGGAAGACGGCAGGTGTTCTCGACGCGCCGCAGGTTTTCGCGGTTTGATGTCCGTGGGCCGGGGTAGGTGACCTAGGCTTGACAAGATGGAATATGGACACCTCTCCTTCTGACTGTTTGATTGATTTTTGCTGCCGCAGGTAGATGGATTTGTTCAACCAAGATTAATTCATATAAGCTTTCTCACATTAAGCTTTCTCAATGACTGGGTTTAAGGGGAACATCTGCAGGAAACCAAGGTGGTTTTCCTGTCCACATGAGCTCAACTCGGAGGGTTGGTGGTGATCATTTGGGAGTTTGATGAATTGGTCCATTTATTGATTCTTGAACTGTGTACTCATTGCCAGCAACCGTCGGCAACAAAAAGATGATCACTACTTGGGGGAAAAGAACTTTACTAGCCAGTGAAACCTGGTCATGGGATAGACCACTACACTCTTTCGTCAACTCGAGTGGCGCACGCACGGACTGCATGGACTGGCTGCAGCTTCCGGGTGCTGCAGTCTCAACGCACATTCCGGGAGGCAGGTTGATCAGGACCCGGAATCGATCCCCAAACCCTGCCCCCAACACAGCAAAATGCTATAGCACCAGGACACCCTAAGGGGTGTCTATTGATAGCCCCTTAGAGGTTAAGGGGTGTCCATTAACCACCCCTTGTAGGTCCTAGTATAGGTATGTTAGGCCATGGTTAGTATGTTAGGCCAATGGTTAGGAGGTTGGATGCTAGGCCATCGCTACAGCTAGCTCGCTCGCGGGAGGTGTTTTCTCCCGGAGCCTCAAAGATCACTGTGACCGTTGTGTTTGCTGAGTCGAAGGGATCGGGCTCAAGTGTCGACACCCATAGGTTTGGGGGGTGAAAACAATACCAGCACCCTCCAACAGGTCACCACCTGCGACTTTTAGGTCAGCAAAAGCCTCCAGAGGAGACCTGTTGGAGGGTATTATTGTCCTGTAGATTTTCCCTATCCAACCAATCCTGAGGAGTGGATCCGCCTCACAAATCCTCACAACCAACCACACCAACTGCGATCCAAGGCTCATGGCCTTTGTGCTCGCCATCGTTTACCTCTTTGGATGCTGAGAAGCAGGTTAGGGCGGCCCCCATCAGTGCACCTGCAAAACCGACCTCACCCAGACGTGGCCCGAGACCACCCGGCCCCGAATCTGGGTGTGGGGGTCTTAAATCAAGGGCGTGCAAGGGCAGTGAATGGAGCGTTTGGGAGGCGCTTGGGCTGTGGTTCTTCTTTCGGTGAAATCTGATCCCGGCTGGCCAAAACCTAGCGAGTCGAGTGGAGTCGACGCCGCCGACGCAAAAGCCAGGACCGAAAACCCTGACTTGGGTGTGTCCTGGCTCACCTCTAAGAGGCTATAGATTTTCACACCTTTTGGAGGGTCCAGCTATGAGCCACTTCCACGAGGCAATGAGGGACGGGACGCAATGTTTTACGGAGGCGAGGGGTCGCCCATGAAACGACGCGACGCCTGGTACGCAAGAAGAAGGATATCCCTAGGGATCCACATACCCTCTGAGAAGGTGAAGAAGGAGACACAGTTGTGTAGGTTTGGAGGGTCCAGTCGTACCTTCTCAGAGGGTACGACTGGATCCCAAGGGCATGTGGCACATATAAAATAGCTGCTGCATCATCTCATCATGTCCAACTTTTTGTGAAGACACGCCCAATTACTTTCCATCGATACATGACCTGCCATGTGACACGGCAAAGCACTTGGGAGGTCATGTAGGTCAGTTGGCCCTTGGGAGCATCGCACCTGTCCTTTTCCTCCCCTCACCACCTCCCCTCCTTGGGTGGTAGATGTTGACCCGAACATCATGGAGACTACTCTTCCAGGAGTCAAAAAGGGGTGGTGTTTCGTCTCCAAGTGAGTGGAGTAGCTGGGCACCCCTAACCTCCATGGATCGCACCCTGTCCTGCGACTGCTGCTTCTCTTCTCTTCGCGCATCCTTCAGGAATGGTCTTGACCGAAGGGATCTGGGAGGTTTGTCGCTCTGAAATGGTCCCGGACGATGTGCTGTGCGCGAAGTTCGGCACGCTGAATGCCTCGATGATGACCTTGTTCCAAATCCTCTACCACGGCCGCGGGGCCAAAGATTGTTCGAATGCCGCGCACCCTAGACATCCAAGATCATTAAAAAAACGGTTGACCGGGTTTTGTAGTGTAAAATCCTTGGTTGATTCGGTAAAGCCTATTAAATTAATGGTTGTTGGAAGCCTAGGGGCATTTATTTGTTCTTTTGGCATGGGGAGCGAGGCAAGTAGGTACCCCCAAATCTACCAGAAACTCCATGTATGGCATAGTTACTTATAGTCGATTACATTTCGTGTGGTGTGAAAACATCGATGTGTTCAGGATCAATCAAAACCAAGCTATTCGGACGTCCCCAGACCAACGTCTTGACATCCCCAGAAAGAGCACCCAGAGGGGCGCCCAGACCAACTCTAGGGATCCACCAAGAGTTCGACTACGTGGCCTGGTCTCTAGGGACCCGGAAGAAACCCTCGCCGCACCCGGAATCGTCCGAGCTGAGAAAACGGAAGGTCCTTTCGGAGAAAAAAAGACATCGTCCTGGATCTCTAAAACGTTCATAGGTGGACAAAAGCTATATAATTTTCCAGTAAAAGCTGAGGAAGTCATCATACCCTGTCGATCCAGACTTGTATCCTGCCAACTCTAACTGGGTCCGTCCCATGACGCGTTTCAAGAGGTTGGACAGGACTTCTGCAACTCCAGAAGGTGCTACTTATTTACCCGAAAGGGCGGATTTGAGCAGTCCCAACACCTGAGGAACTACTTGGAGCCCTATATATTGCAATATTATACCATTTAATCCAAGACCTTCAAGGTCCATATACTTAAACCGTCGCGATGGTCTAGCCTAGTGCCTAGCCTATATGGCTACGGCCAGAAACATAAGGCTTGGATCAAACCCACACACGATCCATACCTCGATCCATAGGGTATGGATCAAAAGGTGGGTGTGTGATCCAAGCCCTTGGATCACACAACCACCACCACCACCACCACTACTACAACCACCTCTGCTGCCACCACTCCTTCTGCTACTGCCACTGCACTTGCCACCTGCT